AGACTGTCCAGGACGTTATAGAAGAAGGAATAAGCAACAACATGGTGATCACAACAAGGGATCCGTCCATTGTTCAGAGAAACATGAAGATGATCTTGATCAAGAAGCTTTAATTACATCCGACTGTGGAGATAATGTCCACTGGATTGTAGACTCTGGTGCTACTCAGCACATGATGTACCAAAAGAACTGTCTATATGATTATGTGGATTTCAAGAAACCATGCATTGTAAACCTAGGTGATGATCGAACCATATCAGCATATGGAAAAAGATCATACAATATTTTGGCAGATATCAATGGTCGTACCAAAAATATTAGTCTTCGTAAAGTACTGTATATTTCAGAATTAGGAAAAAACTTGTTATCTGTAAGAGCAATGAAAAGATTCGTTGCTTCAATAAAGTTTCAAGGAGATGAATGCGTAATCTCAAGAAATAGAAAGTTATTGGCAAAAGGTGAGATATGTGGAAAATTATTTGTGTTAAAAACTATCGGTGATGAGCAAGTCAATGTTGCGAAGAAAATGTCTCAGGGAAAATTATGGCATTGTCGTTCTGGCATTTGGGATATGATAACATTTCGAAACTTTCTAAAGGTAATATGGTTAAAGGAATGAATAATTTTCAAGAAGATGAAATCAAGTCTGTGTGTGAATCATGTATTATGGGGAAACAACATAGGAATCCCTATTCAAAGAACGTCCCTCACTGAGCTGAGAAGTCATTCAAAATTGTTCACAATGATGTGTGTGGTCCAATGGAGATACCATCTCTTGGACAATCTTTATATTTTTCACATTTATTGATGACCTTTCCCGATATACACAAGTATATTTCATCAAACAGAAAAATCAAGTCCTGAAAAAGTTCAAGGAATTTGTAAACTATGCTGAGAATTCTGCTGAGAATTCTTGCGCACTGACAATGGAGGTGAATACTGTTCTAAAGAATTCAATTCATACTTAAACGAAAAAGGCATAACACATCAAACCACTGTCCCCCACAATCCTGCACAAAACGGGGAGCCTGAACGGATGAACAGGACACTATTAGAAACCGCTCAATCGATGATGGCTCATGCAGACATTCTTACTGAATTCTGGGCTGAGGCTGTGAGTACAGCAACCTATATAAGAAACCAAAATCCTACTGCTGCTGTGAAAGAGGTAACACCATTTGAATGTTTCTTTGGATATAAGCCAGATGTGTCAAGCATGAAGGTATTTGGTTGCTTAGCTTATGCCTATATTCCTAATATAAAACGGAAGAAATTAGACGCTAAATCGTCGAAATGCATATTTGTGGGTTATCCTAAAGGTACAAAAGGATTCAAATTGTACAATCCAGAAACAAAGTCATTCATCAAGAGCCGAGATGTAATTTTTGATGAATGGAAGTTTTACAACTTTGACAATAGAAATTCAAACACTGCTAATACATTTGAGATACAGACACCTCTTATGCAAACTAATGATGATAACGTGGAAAATGATGATCTTGCTGTAAGAGAAGATAATATTTTTCATCCTGAACCTAATAATCCAGTGGGAGAAACTTATGAAGAAACTTTTATGCAACAAGTTGAGAATCTGAATTTGCGAAGAGAACGAAGACCCCCGTTGGATTCGATGAAGAGGTATATGTTGCAGATGATCTCACTGCAGATATTAATGAACCCAGGAAAATTAATGAAGCATTATCATGTGATCAGAAAAAGAAATGGATTGAAGACACTGATGCTGAGTATATTTCACTGATGGAGAATAAAACGTGGGAGATGGTAGCTTTACTCAGTGGAAAGAATGTAGTTGGAAGTAAGTGGGTTTTCAAAGTCAAGCGAAATGCTGATGGATCGATTGAGAAATTCAAAGCGCGTCTGGAGCCCAAGGATACTCGCAAGCTGAGGGAGTTGATTTCCAAGAGGTATTCTCGCCTGTGATACGCAACACTTCAATGAGATCTTTACTTGCTCTGGCTAACTCTCTGGATTGGGAAGTTCATCAGGTGGACGTAAAGTCAGCGTTTTTTACAAGGAGATCTTAATGAAGAGATTCACATGCGTCAGCCAGATGGGTATGTTGATAAAGGTAATCCTAATCATGTATGCAAACTGAAAAAGAGCTTGTATGGCTAAAACAAGCGGCTCGACGCTGGAATTCCTCAATAGACCATTACTTGAAGACAAGTGGTACAAACAAGCCGATTCAGACCAATGTTTGTGTATGAAATCGATCAAAGCAAAGGATGGAAGAATCAATTTTGATATGTTAAATAAAGAAAAGTTATTCATTGGCAAACGATTTAAAGTTCAAGACTTGAGTGAAGTGAACTATGTTCTTGGCATGGTAGTTAAACGTGACCGGAAGTCAAGAAAGCTGACCATTAGCCCAACCAAAATATCTTGAAGGTATTCTCAAGAGATTTAAAATGGAAAATTGTAAACCTGTCAGTACACCAGTAGAAGCAGAAAAACAGTTTTGTGCATTACCCGAAGATGAAAATCCCATTAATGTTCAAGAGTACCAATAGATGATTGGATGCCTTACATATGTTTCTACTGCAACACGTCCCGATTTAGCAAGTGCAGTTGGAATTCTGGCAAGATACATGTCTAGACCTGGAATGGAACATTTCAAAGGAGTAAAAAGAGTTTTAAGATATATTAAAGGGACTATTAATCATGGTCTAGTATTTAAAGCTAATGGAAAAAAGCAAATGATCATCGGATATTCTGATGCTGATTAGGGAAACGATTTGGATACCAGAAGATCAATATCTGGGTATGTGTTTCAAGTCAAAGGAAGCACCGTAAGTTGGTGTAGCAAAAGGCAAACATGTATTGCAAGGTCTTCAACCGAAGCTGAATACGTTGCACTAAGTTTAGCTGCACAAGAAATTGTTTGGTGGAAGAAGCTCCTACAAGATGTGAATGTAAGATCAGAAAAATCATTGGTTATTTAAGAAGATAACCAAGGAGATATCGAACTATCAAAAAATGCCAAGTTTCATAACTGCACCAAACATATTGACATTACATTTCACTTTATTCGAGAGAAAGTTGGGAATGGGTCAATTGATGTGAAGTACTGCCCTACAGATGAAAGTTAGCTGACATCATGACCAAAAGTCTATCCAAGGAAAAATTTATAAAATTCAGAGAACAATTAGGAGTTTCTGAGGTCAATTAACTTTAGTCTTGTTTAATAATGATATCCTCAAGTGGGAGTGTTAGGAATGACGATACGTTACATGTTTATTAAACTAAGTATAAGATATCTGATCATAGTACTAGTCACATGAACTGGTAAGCACTTCTTATTGTACACCCCATTCGTCTTGTGAGACGTGGCTAATAGCCGGTAAAGTACGGGTACAAAACGTCGGCTGGTAGTCGTGGAAGATACATACGTTGTACTTTGGTCGTTTAACTTATGTTATTGTGTCATTGGTAATATCGATAACATTTTCTGATTTGTGATTTTCCTGCTGGTAATTTTAAAAGATGCTAAGGTACACCAAATAACGGACTTATAGCTGTTCGACTTTTCAACATTTATTATCATTTTATAGATTTTTATGATAATTTTTGTAGGAGAAATAAAAGGTTTAAACCAACTGTAGCTGTCACATATCATGATGAGGATAGCCATGTTGAGAGAGAGGAGGTGGATTTGTCAGAATTGGTTACTGAGGATCATAAAGGAAGCTGTTCTATTAACAGTCCTGATAATTGTGGTGCATTGGAAGGCCATGAACTGGGAATGGAACAAGATTACAGTGATCTTGAAAGTGATGTTCACCATGATTGTGAAGAATCAGCTTCTTATTACCAGAAAGTTGAAAGAAAACAAAAAGCATGGGAAAATTTGCGACATTCAATTATAAAGAATACATTTCAGTTTGTTGGCAAAAATTGGAGCAGTCTGAAGTGTATTCATTGTGACTATGAAGCAAAGTTTAGGTGCAGCGATTGTGGTTCAATGGCAAAGTATTGTGAGAACTGTATGTTAAAGATGCACACAACCGTAAATATTTGTCATCATGTTGAAATATTTAAGGTAAACTTTATGAGCTAGATATTATAAAAGTGTTTACAGTTAACTCTCTCAACACTTGCAACAAAAAATGCAGAAATAAAATGAGAGTTTACATTGTGAAACATGCTACAAAGCACTAATCTAATATTTTTTATGAATGCAAGAAAGGGGATTGATTACAACTAATTTCTACAAGGTTATTCATTGCTTTGTAGGATGGCATGTTTTGTCCATATAAACTCATGAACATGCTGGTGTATGATTGTTCATGCCAAACAGCTCGTCACAAAAGAAGTGTTTCTGTTGTTGATGTTAAAGGTATGTTATATGTAAAATGTGCTGTAAAAGTTTCTTCATTTTAGCTGGGATGGTTTAACACAATTATAATTTTGGATCTTTCTCAATTTTTAGGCACCTTTTGTACTGTTGAGGTACAGTTTTGCTCATGCTCTTCCAAGTTTGTTCAACTTCTGCAATTTGGCCTTTGGGGTGGAACACCTACAAAACCAACAATTGCATTTGCAATTGAGTTTTTTGAATTGGTTCATTCTGTGTAGATGGAATGCCAGGCATCAATAAAAAGCATTTGTCGGTCATTTGAAGAGTTTAATCATAACCACATATTCTCTTCTTATGCAACACCAAAAATGTATCCTGTCATTATAGATGCTTTTGAAGACTACAGGTAACTGCATGTAGGTTACTGATTTATTGCACTGCTGTACTACGTATGAATTGCTGGGAAAGTTGCAGTCAATTTTATAGCCTAAGAATCTCATCTTAAGAGATGTATTTAATCGGAGGAAATCAAAATGCTAAAGTTTATGATGGGAAAGGATTTTTCCTCAAGTATTACTGTATTGCACTGTATTTTGTTTATGTCATTTGTTTAAGAGTGCATAATTGCTTTCTTTTTGTCATTGTTTTTTTTCAGAATTTACAGACATAAACTAAACATGTTGTGTTATTCCTGAGCTTGATGAAGGAAATATCTGTCCTGCTTGTCCCAAAGTGAGTTTATTCGTATTACTCGTTTAACAATGACAATTTAGTAAAAAGAACATTAGCAATGCTAGCTCAAACACCTTTTTGACTGCATCATTTGCATCATTGAACTCAAATACATTGCATGATTTTATCCTTCACAATTTTATTGAAGACTGATGGTGTGATCTTTGAGTCTCTTGATGCTCTTTTTATTGGACGAAGGAAAAAAGCTGGGCAGAGTATTGGAAAACCTCTATTTGAACAGCTGATGTTCTATGATCAGACACATGTTGATCAATTTGTTGCCAATTATAGAACACCTACATCAAACAAGGTCAATGTAGCTTTAATATACTTTGTTATTCTAATGAAAATTCAGGCATGGAAGTTACAGTGCTTTGAATATATTTGATTTTTTTACATTCTCTACCACATAGTTTTTGTTTTCAATAAATTTGCACCATGGGCTTTAGGAAATAAAGCTCTTGTATACTTTTTTGTTTGTTACATATTGATACTTATAGCAGTGTCATGGTTTTCTTGCTGGGAGTGCTGTTCGATCAATGAATCGCTACAGAGCTCTTGATGAAACAGCAATCTTTGGGCGAGGCTGTCGACATGAGTTTCCTAAAAAATTTTTAAATTTGAAACATGGAGAGAGGTCTGTTACACACATTTTTCTCTATTTTTACCTAAATGTTCTTGGTTTGAAAGATGGTTAAGATGCTTGCATTTGATGGTGTAAATTTATTTTTTTCAGTTGGTTTGCCACTTTCAACGCTTTGTACAAGTGCTGAAGCTTTTTGCATACATGTGGTTGCATTATTTAAAAAAATATTCTACATATTTTATAGATTAAGCTATGCAGTTTATGTTCTCCAAGAATTAGAGAAAGATAATGCTGATAAACCTGCACTCAAAATAAACATATTGTATGATGTTGCATGCATGTTGGTGAAACACTTACAGGTAATATTCAATAGACCACTTTGGCGGTTTTATTTGAATAAAAACACGTGCTCGCTAAGTGAAAAACTCGGACAAACATGGCGGAAGTCATAACAATGACTAATTTGCTATATGAAATAAAAATATTTTTCGCTCTCTTGCAAATGTAGAGACGAATCAAACTTAGTCATAGTTGTTGTGCGTCAACGGATATACGATGTGAGTAAGCACAACAACGCGCTACAAGCTAACCACACAAGCCCGACCACAAAGCATGAAAGCACTATAACGCGCTTAGAAAGAACTAAGTCATCCCACTATTACGTGCAGGATATGACTGAGAACACTCTCTTTAGTTACTATATAAATGCACGACAAAATATAGAATAGGACAAGATATAGAATAGGACAAAATATAGAATAGGACAAAATATAAGCGCTAAAATGGAAGTAAGGTTACGTGAAGAGAAATTCAATGCTATGAAACTGCCAGAATTAAAAAATCACCTGCAGAGTAGAGGTATAACCGTAAGTAGTTATCTGAAGCCGGGACTAGTAGCCATTGCATGTGCAGTGGAAAAAATGAACATTCCATTGATCCCGCAAGTCAGTAAAGCCGAGCAGCAAGTAAATTTAAGTTGTCGTTTGGCCATCCATGATGTTGAGCTGCCGGATCCATTTACGATTAATGTTTCAAATGATTTTAAAAATTCACCCCCGTTCGGCTTGTTTGATATATTTAATCATCTTATATATCATTCATCGGAATACGACAAGCAGGGTCTTGCAGCCTATAAGTCGTTCGAGAACTATCGTTTGTTTTACGATGGATATGTTGAGTCTTTGCTAACAGCCTACAGGCAAGATGCTGGGGTCCATGTTTATATAGGCAAGGTTAAGCCTACAATGAAAGAAATGACTAAAGATGGTAAAGACGTTTACTATTTATGGTTTATATTTGAAGGAAACGGGTCTAATCGCGGCAGTGTGCTTGAAGCGTATTGCTGTTGTATTGGTGGTAGAGATGGTGGATGTAAGCATGTATCATCTGCTTTGTATTCTCTTGATTATCTGCTTAATTCTAGAGGGGAGGATAGTGTTACAAGTAAGGAGTGTAAATGGATTCGAAGATCAAGGCCTGATACAGCACCGTGCAAGCTAGAAGATCTTCAAATAAAAAAAGTGTGACTTAAAGATCAAGGAAAGAAAAGAAAAAGAGATGAAGCATACAACCAATACATTGACTATGACCCACGTCCATTTACAGATAGGGGACCCTGTTCACATGAACAACTTGTTAGTCTAGTAAAATCAATGCATGAAATAAAGAAGAAACCACCTATACTATCCATTTTGTAGAAAGAAGTGTACGGCATGGATGAAATTCTGGAAAAGAATAAAGAATTAGATAAAGAATCATCCAAGCATGAAATAATGGAAAAAAGGTAATACAACATCTGCAAAGCAATCACCAAGCAAATGCAGATGGCTTCTTAGAAAGTCTCCACTTCTCAGATAAGGAGATTGAGGATATTGCTTCAGTCACTAAAAAGCAATTTCAATGTAGTGAATGGTACACCCATAAAAGAGGATTTATAACTGCCTCAAAAGTTAAGAATATTTACACAAGGCAGATTTCGATTAAGAAACATGAGACGGATGTTTCTTCTCTCGTAAAATTTTTAACAGAACAAAAACATGTCGCAACAATGAGAAAACATTTGGTTGATGATCCTAAAAATCCACTCGATTGGTGACTGAAACATGAACAAAGTGCTAGGAAAGCTTACTATAGTATTCAAGCAAATAAGCATAAACAACTTAGTTTAATTTCAAAAGGCTTTGTGATTTCAAAAGATACACCTTTTCTTGGTGCTAGTCCTGATAACATTACAAGTTGTAAGTGTATGCCTAAATGCGATAGTGTTGTAGTGGAATATAAATGTCCGTGGACCCACAAATATCGTGATCCCAAAGAGGCATTCCTGCAGCCTGAGATTGGTGGTAGATGGGAAAATGGCAAATTTTTTCTTCAAGAAAAGTCCAGTTACTTTTACCAAATTCAAGTGCTCATGCATGTTACTGGACTGAAAAAGTGTGATTTGGTAGTCTGGACAACGAGAGGAATTTTCTGCCACCAAGCGACATATGCTCCAGTGTTCTTTCAAAAGATTTCTTTGAAGCTTAAACAATTTTGGCTTACCAAGGTTGTGCCACACATGTTCAAAAAATTCTGCATTTTGAATAAGGTATCTTCTGAATGTACAAATGGTAAGCATTTAATTTGAGTGTTACCTTAGCAAATTTACTTGAAGCTAATTTGCAGTAATGTTGCTTATGATAGGCTCCACAAAGATAAAGTATGTTCATAAACAAAATCCGGTGAACAAAGATGAAAAAGAGTCTGCTTTTTTATGCAAAACAAGTATCACATATCAAGTATCAAGTGGTTTATTAAGAGCCAGGATGTTTTGTTATGCTCCTCAATTTTTTTCTTAATTTCCTTAGATGATACGGTAAGCATCTTAGAGACAGAAAACAGTGATCCGCCGATGAAGTCTGTTGTCTTATTTGGCTTTGATGTGCAACAAGAAGACATAGACAGTCTACAACCAAAGGAACTTATCACAGATACAATCTTGTCTATATTAATGAAGTATATTCTTTCTATGCAATATTGATTGATTTTAAAATAGCAAATAGGTTGATTACACTACCAAAGTAAATTTACTAATGCTAGTGAACTGTATAATTTCATTTCTAGTGATCACTGCTGTGAATACCCCATAGTAGACACTTTATTCTATTCTGTTCTTGTTGGAGATCAAGAACTGAAAGTGAGAATATCAAGCAGGTTTCAGTAATTGACAATGATATTGCATTATCTTTCAAATATTCTACTTTTATACATTGTATTTAATGTTTGTAGACTAGAAAGAATCCAAGCTGCAGAACAATTTTTCAGTGCAAAGTTACTTGAAAAAGATTATGTGTTTGTGCCAATCAACAGAAGGTAAAAATGCTTTAGACAACAAATGTGGCATCTTTTGCAAAAAAATGTAAAAAAAGTTTTATTCCATTATTTTAGCCTACACTGGTTTTTGGCCATCATTTCACTATGGTAGGAAAAGCAACATTTGCTATATCGCATGTGTTCCTTTTAAGCATGTAATGTTACAATAGTAACCAAATTTATATTTAGGCATATCCTTGTTCTGGACTCTTTAACTTGGGATAAAGAAGACAAAAAAATCTACATTTGAATATATTTCACAGTAATTGTTTTTCCATTGCACTATGCCTACTCTCATTGCTATGTTACTGTTGGAATAGAATTTTTACTTTTCATTCTGAAGATATTTGGACTACACCTTTCAAAAGCACAGCACCAAAAGAAAGCATCGTTCTCATCATATGTTAAAAGTGAGTTCTTATCATACCACCAATAAAATATATTGTGCAAATAATTCTTGCTATATGCATTATTTGGTAGATCCCACAGCAGGAAATCTCTTCAAACCTCTGTGCTGTTTTTGTATCACTTTTTATTAAATACTTTTTGAAGGTAATTATGGAAACTACATGTTTCTTCAAGTTAGAGCCTAATAATAGGAAAGATGTACTCAATGCAATAACATAGGGAAGAGTGCTTACTTTTTCAATCTCACAACATTTTTTAGGATATTGAAAAATATGAGAAATGTCCCAATGATTTCATTCTCATGGAAGATAAATGGTTCAGTAACAAGGATGCCACAATGGAAAGAAATAAATGGCACAAAACTTTGCACACATTGTTTACTCTGCATTGATCTAAGTGTATCTCTAACACAAAGGAATATTTTATTGTATGTTTTTTAAAGCTTCTATATACAATGCTTTTAAGGTGATGCAATAATCTGTGGTTGCAAATTAACCAATGCTGCACAGATAGACACAACAGAATCAATATATGGTTTCATTGTTAATGGGACTACACCTTGTAATATACTAAATGACTTCAGTCGTTGAATAATTCTTTCAGTGTGAATCCTCTTTGTAGCTACTCTCCTTGTCATTGTTGTTGCACCAGTGCCAACATTACCTTTATGCATAATTGGAGGTGAAATTAAACGGACATGTTGAAGGGCAAGTAAATCCTGGATATTAAATCCTTTGTCAGCCATGACTTCATCCCCTGCAGCTAACTCTTCCAAAAATCCACATCTCTTGATGATTTCCTTGTCGCTTATGCAACTACTGAACAATGTAGAGATATAGTTGATATGTAGAAGCGGTGACATGGAAATAAATAGTTTGAAGGTGTTTCTGCCTTTGTAGTTACTATGTGTCCGACGTTGACTTGAAGGAAGAGAAGGTTTTTTGTATATAGAATTCTGTGCAATCAATTATTGCACGAAGACATGGTTTAGATTCGTAAACTTTAGGCCGGGTTATTCCTTCCATGTCTTTCAAAGTTGTAAATGGAATAAATAACTTTAATTCCTTCTCAAGAAACTTCACCCATGTCAAGAATATGCTGCTACCAACAGTTTTTGACACTCCAAATAAATCACATAACATCTTGAGACTAGGGAATCTTTTGATCCTGACCAATGTGAATATAAATTGCTCATAAACTGAAAGTTTAGCCCATGTAGAAGTTTTGTGGATCTATAAAAATGATTAAATGCTTATCATTCATTACACATAGGTAGCTATTAACTGCATTACACAACTATTAACTTGAGTATTTACTTGAGCAATATGTATGATTATATATTACTGTACCCTAGCACTGCTCTTTTTTTCTTGTTTATATTTTGCTGTTTTCTTCCCTTTCCATTTGATAAGCCTGGAAGCCTTTGCTTTCACGAACTCAAAAAGTATTTTCAACATTTCACCTGATAGGCCTACAGATAAATTAATTCAGAGTAGCTCACAAAGTCCTTTATTATTTCCACTAGCTTCCAACATAAGCAATTATATCCCGTTATAATCAACAAAGTAAAAAATGAAATTTTATACCTGTATAATGGGCAGAATCATTAACCACATTTTCTAAAAACATGCATTTCTGTATACTGCTGGTGTTAACCAATGACTCAGTCGCATAAGTTTTAAGATGTTCATGAGTTAGGTTGGTTTGAACAGCAGCATCTTTATTCTTTAAAACAAGAAGAAGTTCGTCTTGGTCCTCTTGCATATCACGGGATGTTGTACTATTTTCACATAAGGATAGGAGGCCGTCAGCTGCGTCTCTTTTAGCGTGTTCCCTTTCGCTCAAGTAAAGAAGAGCTTCTGCTGCATCTTTTTTTGAGATTGACGCTCGTTTTGGTGGCGGATTATATACTCGCGTCATTGGTGTTTTTCGTTTTCCCGTTAGTTTTCTTCTCTATATGAATTTAAAATGAATGTATAAGCTTATAAAACGTTCAGCAAGCTTTCGTATAATTCACACATTTATGACAAAAAAGCAGTCAACACTTACATTCTCAATACTTTGTATCGCTGAAATAGGGTCTGGGTTATGTACAGTAGGACCATTTTCTCCCACAAAATGAAGACTGCAAATATAACTGTCTTTCGTACACACAAATCTGTCACCTCGATGACACGCACGAATCCAGCGCTCTCGCTTGTCGCTATGGTATTTCTCCCCAGGAAAATGTAAAAAAAATACTTTGCTTCTACTTGCGTCTCGTTTTAAACTATCAGGATACCGCGAATCACTTTTGCAGGTTCCCCAAGCGCACCTCTTCGTAGTAACCATTGTTATAAAATTACTCCGCCACGTATCGTTATTATTATTGCATTATATTTAATCATACGAGTTTACATTGAATTTTGCTATGCTCTATTCATCTCTTGTCCTATTCTAATATTTTGTCGTGCATTTATATAGTAACTAAAGGGAGTGTTCTCAGTCATATCCTGCACGTAATAGTGGGATGACTTAGTTCTTTCTAAGCGCGTTATAGTGCTTTCATGCTTTGTGGTCGGGCTTGTGTGGTTAGCTTGTAGCGCGTTGTTGTGCTTACTCACATCGTATATCCGTTGACGCACAACAACTATGACTAAGTTTGATTCGTCGCTACATTTGCAAGAGAGCGAAAAATATTTTTACTTCATATAGCAAATTAGTCATTGTTATGACTTCCGCCATGTTTGTCCGAGTTTTTCACTTAGCGAGCACGTGTTTTTATTCAAATAAAACCGCCAAAGTGGTCTATTGACAATAATAGACCATATGCCTTATTAATTTTTAATGAAAATGCGCGCTGTGCATTCTGGTCTTAGTAGTCACGCTACTATGGTGAACATCAACGGGGAATGCTATAACCAGTGAACTCGACATTTGAATAACTGGAATGATAACCGAAGCCAAAAATTGAAGCCAAAAAAATATTTGTTGTCATCATTCGTCATCACACGTCAGGCTCTAGTCTCTCGCGTGTTCATTTTATTTTTTTTAAATCATTTGTCCCTTGGTAATAGTAGAGTTCGGATCTTGATCGGAGCGTAAAAATAACGAAATTTTTGGAATGAAAAGGTTCACGGAAAGAGAATCAAAGTGATAAATCGAGAAGCAAGATGAGGTGAACTTAGTCGATCTGCTCTTACGCTGCGGTTTTCCTTTAAAACATATCAAAGTCTTTAAGGATATTCAATTATTGATATCGAGATGACAACCATTTAGTATTTGAAACACTATCAAAATCGATGAAAATGACAATCGCTTTGTAAAAAGTAAAAATGCGAGTTATAGACTCAATATTTTTTATGAAACTGGATATTCAAGTTTCTTTTTTATTCGGAAAAACAGATCTTTAAATCCACTTAAATGACAAAAAAGACAAACACTGTCTGACACCGTTTGAAAGTTTACCTTCCGACGAAAAAAAAATTTATGCTTGAATATTTTCTCGTCATATTTTCTATTGTATTGTCTTTTTAGCAAACAGTGTAATTTTCAGTTGGCTTTTCCATGTTACAAGTTGTAAGTTACAACGAACTCACTGTAGTAAAGTTTCAGCTGTAAAAAATAACCTTTTGCGAGGAGTTGGCCTCGTGTGTTGTTTGTCGTGATGTTGTTTATATGTTTATGCTTTTGCAATTTGTATTCAAATTTATATTGGCCGTTTATGTTTGGCACTCAGGGGAATGAAACTGACGTACAAACCGCGTGAATATTCGACTTTGAAGGACTAGAACTGACGTACAAACCGCGCAAGAGACTAGGACTTTGGCTTCAACTTTTTATCTATAAAATGTATTGTCGTTATCATTCCAGATATATATATATATATATATGGAGTTCACTGGCTATAACCCGGGCGATGATCGGGGACGCGCCTATTAAATTCCTGGTCAGCGGAAAAAGCCTTGACATAATAATCGCTATAAGTACAATATGTTTATTGTATAAAATTTCATAACACAAATCAACACAAAGTATAAAGCACAGCGCCCACATTGGATTTTACAAAATATGCGGTCTTTTTTATAACGAATGTTACTGCAAACGCGCATTGTGAAGTATATTATTCTTTGTTATTGAAGTATATTATTCTTTGTTATTATTCTTTATTATTTGAAGTATATTATTCTTTGTTATTCCTTGCATGTAATATGTTCTAAAAGATATTGATGATGCTCAAAAGTATTCTAATCGGTAAGTCTTTTTTATTCGGCACTTTTAAATCTTACAATTTATGTTTTGTATTATTATACAATTGTCATGTCTGATTATGGGCAAGCAAAGTACTCTGTCAGAGTTTGTCCTAAGTCAACATTCAGACAACTTGCATGAAAGTACTGCCCACATGAATCACATCCCAACCAGTCTTCACCATCATCTATCTTGCAAATCTTGCATACCAAACTATTTCTCCTAATAAAATAAATTTTACACATTTTACTTATGGTATAGTAAACAAGCACACAATTTATAACATTACAAATGTCAGATTGATTTTATGGATAATTCCAACAAATAAATCACGACTTTAATGTTTTTGTCTAGTTTAATGTTTTTTTCAATTAAATAAAATCTATAATTTGCCCCTTTTATTAAAATATTTAAAAAAATACAATTTTTTTGTTATTACTCATAAATGTCATCATAGCAAGAACCCATAATCGTTGAAGTCACGTGCTGCCTCACTTTTCTCATGTCAAACTTTGCATTTATATAAAAATAAGAGAGATTTTTTTTAAATTGTTATTTCTTAGAACACAATGTCAAAACAACTACCAGGCAAATAATTATTCCACAGTTAAACCCATCCTCTTGCACATAGTGTGAAGGCTGAATAATAGACCAAGTTGATGTGTTCCACCCACTTTCTAGATCAACAAGGGCACTTTATAAACAAAGGGATTATATTATCAACTGCACTATATCAATGTTGCTGTGTGTATTCAAGACATTGAAGTGATTCATTGAATTGGAATTTCAAATACTGGTATTTGTCAAGGAAGTAATGTATGTATACTTACCAAATACTTTTGATAAACTGTGAAAGTTCAACTCTTGTTGCTTCGCTGATAACTTCTTCTACATGACCTTCCATAGGATCAAGGTAGTATACCATCTCTTTTTGTTTGTCGATTACCTTTAAAAGTGACAATATTGAAAATAATAAAAATTTGTTGCCTTGTCTTAGCTATGTTGTATCCATATTGTATTTACCAAAAGTGTCCAATGGCTCCCAGACGTATTGAGAGGAAATATTATTGTGTCAATTGCCATGAAATTTGATCTGCCCACAGTCGACGTGTACTAGATCCTCGTTGCACCAACTGACATACATATGATTCTGCTGGTAGGACACCAGGATATTCACATGAAAGTTTCCATAAGAAAGCGTTGATAACCTATAACAATCAGGCTCAATTACCATTTCATCATTTGTCTCTGATGCATGATAATCATATGCAAGCTGTAGAGTGTTTAATCACTTGACTTACTGTATCACTAAGCCATCCAGGTGCCACAGTTTTATTTTCAATTAGTGTGGCAGCATATTTAGTCATCTCATTTGGTGGAATGAGGGTCCATAAATCCTGAAGAGTTACTTTGTTTGGTCCAAATTCTAGCATTTGATCACCTAACTTAATTCCATTTAGAGAGGCATTCAGTAAGCGATCCAGTGGATTTGCCTTTTGCTCAGCTGAGACATCAACACTACAGTTGCCATTTAGGAAAAGAAAAGTGGACTATGTGTAATGGTATAGTCCTCACTCATATTAAATAATTACTACATAGTAAATATAAATACTACACTGAAATATTACTACCCCCCTCTCATCATTGCACAAATATTTTTGGAAAATTTTTCTCCATTCAATATTTTTCTATTGCTATGTGTTTGTACCTGCTTGAATTGCTTTTTTCATTCTCCTGGTTTTGCACATTAGTGGACACCTCATAGTTTCTACCCCCCCTAAATTTAGGGGGGGTCTTGGAATTTTCAAAAATGCCTTCTAGGGGTGGGTCGAAAAAATTTTGAATTTCTAGGGGTGGGTTATAAACTAGGGGTGGGTATGTCTATGTAGGGGTTGGTTCCGAGATTTTCCCTATTAGAAAAATTAAAAAATAGATGAAATGCATCTATGATAAAAAAAGTTAATAACTTCAAAGTTCAACATCACTCAATTTTTGCCCCCATGTTATTGCATCATCTATCTTCATATTACCCTATAAGGGACCAAAAATATCTCCCTAATTTGACACCATGTTATTGCATCAGCCATTGATTGCATCAGCCATTGATTGCATCAGCCATTGATTGCATCAGCCATTGGCGAGTTTGGTGAACTTGCTTGATTGACAATTTTAGTGAATACATAGACTTTATCAGTGTTGTATGTAGTATACATAGAGAGACCATAAATAAGTCTAAAATCAGCTTTCCCGTAGAAAAAAACGAATTTTTTTTCGGCTCGTATGTAGGGGTGGGTAAGGAAATTTTGGACCCAAATGTAGGGGTGGGTTACCAATTTGGGGTGGGTATGTCTATGTAGGGGTGGGTTCCAACCCCTCTAGAAACTATGCACCTATGAAAATAAAAAGACTACTTTCAGAAAATACTCGTGACGAGATGTAATCTAAAGAATTACGAACAACTTTTTCAAACGTTGTTTTCGAGTATGGCAAAAATGAGTGCGATTTAGAAGACAAAAACCCACAATTTGGTGATGCCCTTCGTATCGTATATCTAATGGCTGGTGAAAATTACTTTTGAAACAATACTTTAATAAGATATTGGAAAGTAAGATAAGTGCTTTTGTCTTTTTACTCTTTTCGGACGGATAAGAAATTTTTTAAACATAAAAGTAATCATTTGAGAGAAGCTTTTTTAAGAAATGACAAGAAAGCAATTCAATAACTTGTAATACCCACATTAGTAAGATCTATTGTAAATGGTGTAGACTTTTTTTGTCTTACGTCGTCTGGGAGGTAGGGCCTTATGAAAGATTTGATGGTATTTTGTCTCGGTCACCTTTAATTTTTTTTCACAGGACTCAATCGAAGAGGCAAACCATTTTCTGTGGGAAAGTTTTGTTCAAGAAACTGTTTCAAGCTTTCAGCTTTTTGCACTGCTTCTTGTAGAGTGGTCTCGGTTGTGGACCCAGTTGTTCTTGCAAGATCTTTCTGAGCCTTTTGGAACTTTTGTTTGAAGTAGTTTCAAACTTAACAGTTTCTTCGTGGGTATGTCGTGGATATATTTTTTGTTATCAGAAGACAACGATTCGTGCAAAACAACGTCTCTTGATGGTGCTCCATGATGACGTATTGGCTTCCTCTAGTTCTTCTGGCGTAGTATCTTGTGGCAATCCAAGAGGTTCATTGTCCAGAGTGATGAAAACGCTATTTCGGTAGTCTTCTGGAAGACTTTCGAAATCCCACTCGTCATAGAAAGAAAAAACTGCGAAAAAATGTTTGCAAGGGAAATGGGTAGTGTGCCATATGTTGCAGGTACAACTTGGTTCTCGGAAGTCTATGAAATGTTTCTTTCCAACATTGCTCTCGCTCTTGACATTGAACGTGCCCTTCTTTAAATTAACCGGAGTTATGTCGTCCTGTTTGAAAATGGCTGAAGCGTATCGATTTTTAAGGCAACATTTCAAAAAGTGCGGAGGTCTGTTGTGCAAGTATTCTGGGATTGATGGGTTGTACTTGCAGTAGGCGCTGCTCAGTCGCAGGTTTGCATCCAAATAGTGCTGAAGAACATCGGGAATGAAAGATTCAACCAACATCACCGCAATACCATACACAGATTTGTCAATACTTTGGGGTAAGTATTCGTATTTAAAGACTCTGTTTTGAGCCTCAACGCCATTGTTAGTATTAACAATGTTGGTGACTGCTGTTTTCGAAAAGCGTGTGCCCATCTGACAGCGCAAGAAAACCACGTACGGTCAACATATTCTCTCATCTTGCTGCATTCTTTATACACTTTGGACTCTCGAAAATCTTTTACTGCCTTGTCGTACTCCTGTTTGGTACTGACATTAGCAATCTTTTTCATTTGCAGAAGGAAGTGTTGTTGCTGTTCATATGACAATCCATTCTTGCTTGCTGAAGCCCACCGTTTTAGCGCTTGCAGCCTGTGAAAGTCGCAAACATAAACCTGTACATCGGGAAAACTTTTTTCTATCGCGCCTATTTCTGCTAATGAGTAATCCACCATAAAATATTTTGGGTTCCATACTGGATTCCATCCTTTTATAATAGCCAGAGCCTCTTCTATGGCTTCTTCGGTCTCCGTCTGGCACATAAATTCAGCCACAACTTTGTAGCCAACGTTTGAATGAACGCACACAAAGAAAAGCGGTATTGCGTACTTTGTTGTTTTGTATGTGGCGTCCATGAGACACAATTGTCCGCCATAACGAATCAACATTCGTTGTTGCCAATGCTCTTGATGCACAAACAAAAACTTTTTATCCTCCTTTGGAGGAATATCGTTTCTGGAAGCGTTATCTCTTGTGCGGTAGAAAAACTTGCTGATTGGAGAATTCTGTTTCCAGGTTTCTACCTTCCTGCGCAGGGACTCTTGATCGTCTTTGCAGTCCTTAGGGACTCTATTGCTTTTGCTACGTGGTTTCGAATATCCTTTTTATTTGGATAGTACCGTTTATTTGTCTTGCGCGGTGTAGCCTTTTGTCCGTCTTGTGGAAATAAAGTCTCTTCAACGTATTGATCAAGACACCTTTTGACTTCTGAGATTTTAATTACATTGCGTTTTACCAAACTATAAACTTTCGTGACCAGTCGGTAATCCATTCGCTGCCCAACTGTTGCCGTGGCACCAATGGCGTGACTTGAATGAGCACTACGAAGAGGTATTTTTAGGTAAAATCGACTGCTGGCGCGAAGTTGTGAGGAAGAATCGCTATCCATTTTTTCCTTAATCTCTCTAAATACTCTCCGTTTTGCCATAACCAAGCTGTTTTCTGATGTAAATTGTTCTCGATCGATGTAGTAGTCGAGAAATACTCTGACTTGTCTTATTTGCACTTGTGCTGGACAATCCAGTTTTCTACTGTTCTGTAATCGAATCCGTCCCTTTTCTTCATAATCATGGTCACTTTTTACGTCGTGTCTGCGAGTGCCTCTGCTGTCCTGAGAAGTTTGTTAAAATAAAACAGTGTGGTGTCAAGACAAATTGTGCACAAATAAATCTTAAATATCATAACGAAGAATACATACTTTCGCGCTCCCATGTAAACAATGTCTTGTTTCGTTGCTCACAATCAAAAACGGATTTCCAAAAAACTCAATTGGAATATTTCCCTTCTTGCTTTCAAACACTGGCGGTGCTAGAAAAAATAAATGATATGTTTTTTCAGCATTTTGTTTGTCTTCAAGTAAAACATTCTTATTATGCTAAGCTATGCAGATGTGTTAGATAATAAAATGTATTTAAAAGAGATAGCAAAATAATTGGCGAGTCATTGAACGGTTTTTTCCTAATGAGTTTTTTGCTAATATAGATAGAAATGACTGTTAGATTCGATTCTTCTAACTTCATAATTGAATGTCTTTGCGACTATAAAATGTTAATTGGTCATGCAATATTGAAGAAGGGGGGGGGGATGTAGCAGGCTAGGCTGCCCAATTTATGCGTCGGTTGAAAATTTCTTGGTGTTTTCTCGCTTTGATTTGGGGTAAGATGCTTGATGCGGTTGAGTTGATTACCTGTAAGTGAAAAACGTTTATTGCCCTTGTTTTTGAGTGGTTGTCAGCTTTCACAAACGAGATAGAATCAATTACCTAAATTCAAAAACCTCTTTCACTTTTCAAATATATTAACGCGTGAAATCAATTTATCAAGGTTTACGTATTACGGCCTTTGAAAGTTAACTGTTCAACAATTACAAAAACCTTTTCAAGCCGACAATTTGAAGAAATAAATTATAAAAATTACTTCAAAAAACATGATCTTGTAAACTTAGCTATATTAGCTTTATAATTACTATGAAATAATGTCAAAATATTGCTTTTAGATTTTGTTTCTTGCTATTATAACTGAAATTTTGAGTTTACATGATGATGTTTTTCGGAATATGTTACAAATTGTTTGCAGTATGGTGTAACAATTGAAAACAAACTACGAGACCTGAAACTGTTCAAGAAGTTCTTCCATTTGCTCCACCGTTCCATCAATGTATCCTGTGCAGTAATTTTCCAGAATTTGAACACTTGCGAGTTTTTCTCTAAGGAAGTTTACTTGTTTATTTGAGCATTCTGCAGATTCACGCTGAAGAATTGTCTGCGCCATATACTGAGTATGAAACACGAAATTTGTTCCTTAATATATTTTAGTCTGTTGAAATGTTTAATAATGAGCCAGAGCAAACACTCGAACGCTTATACGTCTTTATATGAATTTCATTCCACGAGCCAGTAATGTGCCCACTATTTTTTTCACTTTTGATGCGAGGTTTTTATATTTTTTCTTAGCTAGGTGGAGTTAAGGCGAGACCTATAAAGCACTTGAAAAACGCAAGTACCTATACGTAAGAATGAAAAGTGCGCGAATATTCAGCATAATGAGTATAGGCATTGAGGATAGGCCATTTCCTATGATCTAAGTAGTAGCTTCTAGATTTAATCTCATACGTAAATTTAACGTCACAATGCGCGTTTGAAGCAACATTTGTTATAAAAATGACGACAGGTTTTGAGCAGAATAATTAGGATTAGAATACTTTTGAGCATCATCAATATCTTATAGAACATATTACAAGCAAGCTCAATAACAAAGAATAATATACTTCACAATGCGCGTTTGCAGTAACATTCGTTATAAAAAGACCGCATATTTTGTAAAAGCCAAATGAACATATAATACAATGTGTGCGCTGTGCTGTATACTTTGTGCTGTATACTTTGTTACCGATTAGAATACTTTTGAGCATCATCAATATCTTTTAGAACAAATTACAAGCAAGGTCAATAACAAAGAATAATATACTTCACAATGCGCGTTTGCAGTAACATTCGTTATAAAAAAGACCGCATATTTTGTAAAAGCCAATGTGGGCGCTGTGCTGTATACTTTGTGTTGATTTGTGTTATGAAATTTTATACAAGAAACATATTGTACTTATAGCGATTATTATGTCAAGGCTTTTGCCGCTGACCAGGAATTTAATAGGCGCATCCCCGATCATCGCCCGGGTCACAGAATAGATACATACAGAACCGCCACTCAGCGAAAAATCTGTCCCCTACTTGTACCCAGTTCTTAAGTGCGCATCTTTTGCGTCCGCCATTACTCCAGCCAGATAAACTGGTCAGAATGTATATAGATTAATATTATGAAGAGTTGTTTTTCGAAAATTTGACGAATTTAAATTCACTTATGGACAAAATTTTTAATGCCATCGGATAGGATACCAAGCATATGAGGTGAGAAACAGTTTTGTTGTAAAATACGTTCTTCAAATATAATTTTACGGGTTTTATAGTTTCTTGCCTTGAACTGTATGCGAGATCCATGTTTAGAACGTCTCTTATATTGAACGGCAATTGCCCTAAGAATTTATAATTTAGGACAAAAGTAATAAATATATTTAGTGTGATTCCATTTCTGTATTTTCTAGTAAAGAGTTTCCTATTAGAATGGTCAACGGATTTGATAGAAGCGATAAAACGACCCAGGGGCGGATCTAGGATTTTGGATACCATAGGCAAAACATTATGACGTCATTCAGTGCTAAACCTATGACGTCATACTTTGCAAAACATACTACACTATTTATGCTTTCGATAAGTTGTTTAAATCAAACAGTCTAATCATTCAGCTATGCAGAATCTTGTAGATCTCAATCGTATAAATACATAAAAACATTGTATATTTATACTTACATATCACAAGGTCGTTGATTTTCACTATTCAGAATATTGAATGCACACAAGACTGTTTCGCCCCATATCAGGGCTCATCAGCATGCCTAGGAACACTTTAACGCAAAACAAAAAATCGTGATCCGGCATGGACAGCCCTGTGAGCCGAATTAAGCAGACTGGTTATGGCGCCAGAAGTTCGCCTACACACCTTTGAAAAAGGAGTTTGGTTAGAAATGGGTGACTATATGGGATATTTCATGGATGTGATATTGCTCAATTTTCACACCATCCCAGTCAATTCCAACCCTTTACCCCCACCTAAAATGAGCACTCTGGTTTTGAAGGCGCCAGAAACTCGCCTTTCACACCTTTAGCAAATAGCAAAGGAGTTTGGTTAGAAATGGGTGACTATGTGGGACATTTCATGGATGTAAGATTGCTCAGTTTCTTACACCATCCCAGTCAATTCCAACCCTTTACCCCCCACCTAAAATGTGCACTCTCATTTGCCAACAAATGAGCAGAATGTAAATGTAATGTAATAGTCAAAATAGAGCTTTGTATAAAGAGTCTTTGTGAAGACTAAAATTTGGTGTAAGGAAAAATTATTCTATTTATGCTTAACAATTTTGTGAAAGTAAATTTATGTCGACAACGGCCGAGTACCATACACGTACTCAGCAGTTTTAAGATTGGAATGTATATAGGGAAAAAAACCTTTATCGGGCGAGCTATTAGTTTGATGCAAATTCTATTGACGTTACTATTGTGTACAACGCACAATAAATGGTTAACATATGGACATTTCAACAAAATAAAAAACTAGGATATGAATAAATTCATGCAAATTTTAGCCTTGTATTTCCAACAGCAAAAGTATTAATAACCTCACCAATATCTGGTACAATTTCCTGATGAATTTGCATCAAGGCCAAACCATTTAAGCGTTCCCCAACCATGGTACTTCGCTGATAGTTTTTAAGTGTCCTAAGGGAAGAAATAGATCGTTCACATTCACAAGAGGTAATGGGGAGCGTTCCTAAAATACGTAGTAAAATTTTAATGTTTTCAAATCCGGCGAAATGAACAGATTTTAAAGTCTGGGCAATGTTATCAGGAAGGAGGCCGCAGTGGGTCTCCCAATAAGTGTACCACAACCTAAGTTCAGCATCTAAGGCCAAAGGATTTGGCAAATCATCATAATAAAGTTAGCCACAGTTTTGAATGGCTCTTTCCAATCCACCCCATCTCTTGTCATGGACATCATTTTCGTCGGTACAATGCTAAGGCCTTTATAGACATTCACACTCTCAAGGTCGAATCGTGATTCTAAAGAAGATTGCAAATGATCTAGTAGAGGAAGAGTAATTGCACGTTTATAATACTCAGAAATGGTTGTGTGGGGAATATTTTCCCTGGTCGTTTGTTTGCGCACTGTTCTTGGTTTCCATTCTTCAATGCCAACTTTGCTGCCAGTTCAAGCGCTTCGTCATACCAGGTGTCATGATAAAAATCAGAGGAATTCCTCATGTTCACCACCTCAGTTTTCAAAGTTGAAATTAAATGAATACCATCCATTATATCGATACTCTTACCCTGTAATAACTGTGTTACTGGAAGAGTTGAATCAAGAATATTTCTCGTGATAACTAAAGCAACGACGAAATCAAACCTGTCAATAAGTTGAAACAAAGATGAGGCATCAGACTGAAGCGACGGTTTGAACTCACCATCTAGATTTTCAGACATATCGTTAAGGGTGGTGTATACAGGTACAAAAGCTCTTGGAATGTATCTAAACCTTCGATACGTTCTACCCATCTAGTTTTGCAAACGTCTGTTAATCTAGTCTTTTTCGAGTTTGTTTCTGAATTACGTATATGTTTTCAAAGGGAATATTGCGAGTTTGGGAAATTTTAATAAAATTAGTGGCATTGTTAACATGTTTCAACATATCATTGACAACACGTATACTCAAAGAATCGCAAATGGATAAGTTTAACCTATGACTATAGCAGTGTGTATAAAGAGCCTTTGGGTTAAGCTTTAAAATTTGAGCTGCTAGACCATTAGTGCAACCAGCAACTGAACCAGCCCCATCATAACCTTGCCCCCTACAATCATCTATTGATAAAGTCAGTTCCTTTAGAGCCTCTAAAAGTAGCTTGGCAAGTTAAGCACCACTTAGTCCCCACTTACAAAAAGAAATGAAATGAATTCTTCCCTGATATTCATATCGGTATCAACAAAGCGCAAAACAAGAGACATTTGTTCTTTATGTGAAGAATCAGATGCTTCATCAGCAATAACAGAAAAAACTTACTTTTTGATATCAGAAATAATCTGATTACTGATTACCTGGCCACAACATTTAATGATTTTATTTTGACTTGTTTTAGAAATATAACTTCTATTCTTACCACAATTCTTTAAATGATTTTCTAAAACTTTATCCCCTCTCCTAACTCCATAATTGAGTGTTTCAATGAAATTACCAACCCCTCCAGATGAATAACAACCAACAGTAGGGTGATACTTGGAATCATCACGATGCCCACGAAGAGGTAAACCTAGACGTCCACAAAAAATGACAGAATCAATAATTGGAGATAGTATTTCCCTATTCTGTTCTATTTCTTTCTTGATACCAGCATCCATGATCATCTCGATAGGCTGCAGAGTACCTGATATTTGGGAGCATAAAGCATCAAAATTGGTGATGTGGATGCATGCAAACCGACTTCCCTCCCTTTACTTTTTCCAGCATGTTGAGTGAAAGAGCATTTAGCATTCTTCCAATCTTGAAGAGGTTCAGTAAACAACTTTTTTACTTTACTGGCCTTGCCTGGGAATCTATTGCCAAACAACACACACGATAGACAATACGCACCATTTTGTGAAGGTGAATAGCAAAGCCATTCATGCTGGTCTAGCCAATCATGCCTAAATGATCTGCCATTAGATTTAGGAAAATGATACTTTTTATCTGGTTTATATACATTTTTATCAAATGACATATTTCAGAATTATCCATACCCTTAACTTTCTCCTATACAAGGAAACATCAAAATTATGGGTTAAAACAGCAGGTTGCATATCACCAGAAGTTGGAATACCAGGCAATAGTTCCTGGGATGATGTGTGAAGCAAAAGACTATTGGCTTTATTTAATGTCTGAGCAAGAGCTGCAGCAGAAGAAAAACTCTCATTGGGCATCCTTTTAAAAGTTGGTTGGGCAGCAGGCCTATTAGTTGAAGTAAAAATTTGAAATGTCAACTGTTTTGGTGCAATATTTGGAAAAATTTTGACAAATTTTCGTTTCTCTGTTGTTGAGCTGCTAGAATTAGACTGTGTACAGGAATTAGACAATTTTCGCTTCAACCTGTGGGCATGGAAAATGAGAGGCACAAAATGATTAGACTGAAAAGTCTCACCTGGTTGTACAGATCCTTCATGACAAAACAAAATATTAATAGCATCCAAACCTCTTTGGCTTAATAACCGGGCTGAACAATACGATTAAATAACAATTTATATCTACTTTCACCAGAATCAGGATAAAAGTATGAATTTTCTACCTAAAACAGAAGATAGGCCCAAAATACAAAGAAAAGATGACCATTTCTGGTCATTACAATTTAAAATAGCCTCCTGTTTTACCAGTTCATCTGTTGTATATCCAGTGTCTAAACATTCTTTAGACACTGACAAAGGCAAAAGATTGTTTAAGCTTTGGGCAAAGTAATCACTGTGCTCACTTATAACAGACAAAAGCATGGGTGTTGAGCATAAAAAGCAGCATGAATAAATAGCTCAAGCGATGTTAAAATTCGCAAAGTAGGGACCAATGCATTGTTACCTACCAGAACTAGGGAAGCTGAACTGTAGAGGCAATTGCCAGAAGCTTCAGATCTTAAAAAATATTCAAGAAAAGAAATTAATATTTTGTTTGGTAGATTGATTGCATTGTATGAATGAATTGCTGACTGTAGACAAAGATATAGCCTAGCGAAATTGAGATTTAACCATTTTACACGTATATATAAATACTACAATACGATATATATAATTATAATATATTTACCTTATTGCAGTACAAGTCTTTCCGTCATGAGCGTGCTTTGGCACATATATTTCAGCTCAAAATTTCGACACAGAGTATGGTCGGGGTCATAAATTCTATCTAACAGCTGCTCGTTAGTAAACATAGGTCGAACGTCGACCAATAAACGAGAATAAAGCTCATTAAGGCATTTTAAATCGTTTTTGGCCAACGCAGACTGAGCAGTCTCGTATAAATTACCACAACACAATGAAGACATTATAAAATATCACAAAACCGTAAACTGAGCACAGAGGCTGTTCAGAAACAATACGAGTGTATGTTAATTTTCAATTGCCTAATTTGCCTAGCTCAACTATGCTTATCAACAGCAATGATTGGTTGGAATTGCTCAAGTTAGGCAAAAAAAATTAACCAATGAAAGCATACGGTTGCAAAAAATTGCCCAATCAGAATACCTATACACGATGTCAAGTTAGGCAAATTCATCTTGTTTAGGCAAACTGCTAACAACCAATCAAATGGCTAGATCGCCTTCTTGACTTAGGCAAAATGGCTGCTTTGCCTAACGACACGGAGCTTTATAGATAATCATACGCATCTGGACTACGATTCATATCAAAATTACGTCATTTAATTGCACAACATTTCTAAACAAAAGTCAGATGATTTGACTGCGATAAAGTGCTATTCATAGTTTCATAATTCGATAAATTCGTATCGAATCTAAGTCGAAGCATATTTTGGTAATTTCACCATAGGCACTTGCCTATGGTGCCTACCCCTAGATCCGGTCGTTTAACGACCTACTGTGCGTAAAGAACGTTCTTCAGATGAATACGTTATTGGTATAAAATTTGGACTAAACTAATTTATATTTGATTCTTGAATCCGGGGCTTTTTTGCAATGTAGCTTGTCTGCATAATTGTAATTGAAAGTTTTTATTTGTAATTGTATATTGAGTTCCTGTGGCTATCATGTCTGTCAAATTTGTATTAACTTACAAATAAAGATGTTTTTTGTTGTCTTATTTTTAATAAACAATATATGAAATTACAATTTTTTAAAGAATGAAGTTATTGATAAATTGTTACAATTAAATTAACAACTTTACCATTATGTCAAACATATTGTCAAGCTCCTACAGCTTACCTCTTTGGTTAAACTTCACTTGTGAGTTGTGACCAACAATTGTATGTGAAAAATGATTAGAATTATGTTTGATTCACCGCATTGATCAACCAGCAGAGAAATTATTGCAACAAAGGGCTCGAAAATTTAATTTTGCTAAAATCCATAAACTTCATTCAGTAAATTAAAATTTTATTGTAAGTAATCATGTCACAAACAGAACTTATTCTGACAAAAACCAGTTATAGTTACTCTTAATGCCATTATTTAAATTGTAATACTTTACACAGTAAAATGTTTACCAAAAGGTGAAACACAGATACACCAGAAAACTTTTTCAAAACATTTGACAGGGGGAAACTGCTAAGCCAACACCAATCCAATTCACAAAAGCATTCAGGAAGCTTTTTTATGTTCACTTCTCACATCATCAATAAGCATTCATGTCAAATATATAAATAATCTCCTGATTGAATTTGAAAAGGCAGAAATAACAAAGTTAAGTCATGTGGACCATATGGCAGTATATGTTTTACAAATTGCTATTCAAGCACTTTATTGGTGGAGGCCAACATGCTGCTGCTGTTCCAACTTGCTCAAAAAGTCATTCAAGCTTCACAAGTCACAACTGTGATGAATACAAAATATTTTGGCATCAGATGACTTTCATAGTGGCCATGCAGCATCGCTTCTGATAGTTTAAAACACCTGGGTAGACAATTTTGGTGATTCGAATGTCCTGCCAAACGTTGTTTGCAATATATAAACTTAACTGGAGGATAATTTGATTTGTCACTTGTTTCAGCCACGACCGAGATTTCAAATGTTAGAACAAATGTCTTCAAGATTCTCTGCAGAATTCTTATATGATAAAATTAAAACTGACGACAAACCATATACCGAGTACGCATCTCGTCAGATACATATCTACTTTGTAAATATTCCAAATAAACCCTCATTTATCAAAACGGACGTCGAATTAATGATAAATTGTTGAGAGCTTGATGTGTTAACTGTATCCACAAAAAAAAATATTAAAAAAATGGCCAATCTATAGAAATATTTGGGTTTATTTGCCAAAACCCATCCGTAGAACTATATATTATATTACGATCTGGCTGCATTTATCTGGCTGGAAACATGGCCGCCGTGTAAAATTGCCCGGATGCTGGGGACACGAACATCAAAGGTTCCGACATCGAGTGGCGGTTCTGTATGTATCTATTCTGTGCCCGGGTTATAGCATTCCCCAACATCAACATGGCCACTGCGGATAGTGAGGGTGTAGCTGTTCTTTGTAGTCTTTCAGAGGTAACTCAAACGGATGAAAACCCTAGTTCTTTTCAGAACTCTTGCACGGGTATTCAGGAGTTTTTTACATCTGAAGCTTATGGCAAGGAAATCCCAAAAACGTCGACGAAGGCGAAAATAGTTGGTGTAACTTCTAATAGCGTTGCAAGTCCAGATGAAAAACTTGTGACATTTGGTCGCTTAGATTGGACAAAGTCTTTGGCTAATCTTCCATCTTTTACGCACGAGAAGCTTGAGCATAAGCTAGTTAAAAGTAGAAGAGGAAAATCCGATAATTATGCGCCTAACGCTTTTAGAAATATGAAGAAAGGTTAGGGTCTCTGGCGAGAAGGATATGTAAAGAATACAATGGTAAAAGCTAATGTTCCTACTTCAAATGGGGAGGTTGTATTTGTTGTAAAGGCGCGTGTTGGTGCATCTATGAAAAGTGTGAGCTACTCTGTATTTGTTCATTTAAATCAGAGAACTGCTGAAGTGGGCCGGACTCTGTAACCATCAAAGGAGCCTAGCGCGAACGTACAGCGTACGTGTACTTTGACGGCTATCAGCCAGTACTTTTTAGCACTCAAATACGGCTATTAGCCATTGAGTTCTATAATAACTGGAGCGGCTATCTCAAGCGCGGCCTTAGATATCTGATGATGCCAAAAAAATGGTGGATTTCGTCCTTTGCCGCCGAGATTTACCGAAATTGACCGCTTTTCCGAAAATTTCACAATTTCCCACTCCCTCCTGAGGAAAGAGTGAGGAAAATGCATGTGTGTATTTGGGATTCGGCAAGCAATTTTTTGATGAAAATCAAGGTAAAAACCTTAAATTCATAACAGCGAGTCAACTGCGGTTGTCAGTTATCTGCTACTACGAGGATGCATTTATCACTATCGACGAAAGACCTATATGTCGGCTACACATGTATGAATGCAGATGTGCGTCGTTTTCTTACCAGCGTCAAACTTGTTTGATCGATTAAACTCTTTAGTTTATACAAAAAGGTATATCATAGTTCATCTCCACGGTTCGCGAGAGAGAAGTTAGCTTATTTGCCATCATTGCTATTTTGCTTCTTTTCATGCAATGGGCAATGGCTTTTTTCGCCACAATTGTAGGATTTTCACTTGTTTCTTTAAAAAAGTACATATTAAATCTCTGGATATTTACGGATTTTCTGTAATTGAGTTTCATATGAAATTTCAAAAAGACCCAAGTCTGCATAGGTTTGGTAAATGAAAACAAACAATATTGTATAGAAATTACTTTAAGTAACCTTTTTGTGATGTTCTGAAGTGCAACTGCATCAAATACTTGTAAAGTTGTAGCACGTTTTGATTTTGTTATATTGATATATGAATTGGGCAAAATGCAAATAATCATCAAAACACTTATGCTTCGAATGGTGTTTATAATTCATTTATAGTTTTAATACTTCTACCTTTCTTTTTCACTTTGTTTTGTTTTCCAATATTTGTAATAAAAGTGCACTATAATTTGAATGATTAATACAGTTTTCACCTCAATAATAAATTTCATAAGCAGATGGTAGTGCATTTTGTTCTCTGAGTATCCACATCTGGTGTTTTGTTTATACAAGAATGATGAAGTGCAAGTAGATATGTCATAGCAAGGCAATAAAACCAAATGAATTACATATCTATAGTGTACTTTTATGCTAGAAGCTTAAAAGCTTTTTTGGAAATTAGAAAGTTATTGGATTATATTACCTCTATATTATCAACCTCATGATAAGAAATAAGAAGCAAAAAATTTGTAGAAAAGCTTTGAAAAGTGAAAAACTTTTCTTTAAAAAAGCAGCAATAATGCATATTATAAATCTCCATTCTGTACCCTAATAGCTAAATAAGCTCAAATTTTTCTTAAAGAAATATAAGAAATATATAAGAAATATACAGTACAGTAACTTTAAAGGTTTCATCACTGAATCTTTAATGCTTCAGTATAGTGCATTAGATATTAGTAACATTCAAACAACACTCAACTAAAATATTTTGATAAAGATATGACATCATTTAAACATTAAGTTACATAAAACCCAATGGCTTATACATTTTGAAGCTTCACATCTGCATCGAATCATCATCAATCTCAGTACAAATGTTTAAATAGACACAAACTTTATGGCCTTCCATTTTACATGTTTGTGAATTGACATTTCATTAAGCATCAAAACACACACAACCTTCTTGCCATCTTTCTTTGGATCATGAACTTTAACTTCAAAGCACTGAAGGCATCCTTAGTGAATCCATTGTCTCCATCCATAGAATTTGACCACGATCAAATTAAATAACTCTGGATAGGGCAGACAATAAATCAATTATCTTTACAGCATTATCATTTTTTAAGACTCTGCCTGGTCAATAACATCTTCCAGTCATCTTTACTCCTTGATCTTCCCTGCATGTTGTCAGCAAATAGAACATAACAAGCTCTGCTCCAAATCATGGGTACCGTTGGGGCTGATCATTTCTTTTTGATACTTACTCACAAAGCAAAATGTGTGCAGGGTCTTGTTTGCTTTAGGGAAACTATTTTGCAAATAAATGGGTAAATTTACGATTTCATGCATTAACAAATGACAGAAAAGTATGCAGAATTTTATAGACAAAAACAGGAAAACATCAATATATTTGGCGTTCAAGTCAGTCTTAAAAAATACGATCTTTAATATGTATTTTATGGCTTTCAAGTGCATGTATAATTGCTTTTCAATCGTTGACCGACTAACAAAACAAACAACTACCTCACCTGTGAGAAGCGATATGTTCCTTTTTGTGGAAACTACGACATCCAACAATTGAACGATTGAAGTGTTGGCATTATAAAAGAAATGCCAAAAAAGATATCGTCACAGAATATGGAACTAACGATATCCATATTCTGTGATATCGTGTTTGTTTTTGAAAAATTCTTTATAATTTACTATAGACACCAGGGGGAGGTCGAGAATATTATTTTTCTGCAAAGCGATCATTTCAGCGGAAATACGTCCTTTGGCTGCCATTTTTTTGGCATCCTCGCCCCAGTAAAGTTAGCCGCTCTAGTTAATATAGAACTCAATGCTATTAGCCATATGCTTAAAGCCTGGGCCACACTATCGTCTATATCGACGAAAACAAAAACGAAACGAAAATTCGTGCACGAAATGCATGCCAGACACGACGAAAAATTTCAAGCATGTTTGCAAAGCCAAAACATTATTGGCCAATAAGCAAGCGGCATTTTTGACGGATTAGAAACAATGGCGATCTCTAAAAGAAAAAGATTACTTCTTCTTAAGAAAAAGTTACTGCTAAAATGTTTAAAAAGTAATGGAAATGAATGATTTGATATAAAAAGTTTGTCGGCTGACTATCAATAATACTCACTATCCCACGCCAAAATCCGTAATTTTATTAAATTCATCTAAAACATCTTGCCAGTGATTTCTTTTCTTGTTCCTCGAGTCCTTATAATCCGGGTGACTTTTATCATACAAAATTGGTTTTTCTCGCATCAGATTTATCAAAACCTCTTGCCACTCCGTCATGTTTGAGAACAAAGTCTAATATTATCAAGATATTTTTAGCCAATAGTATGCGTTTTCGTTGACGAAAAAGGTCCAAAGTTCAACCCTTCTAATATGAACGAAAACGAAATTTTCGTCGAGTTTTCGTTCAAAATTTTCTTTGCGGAAGTTTTCGTTCTAATTTTCGTCGATATGGACGATAGTGTGGCCTAGGCTTAAGACGAAGCGGGTGAGCTTGTCAATCAACGTATTCAGGTAATATAAATGCATATGTTGTGTTGTGTTGTAATAAACGAAGTGTATTCTAAAATATTTTTTGACCCAGTAAACGACTACAAAGACAGAATTTGGAAAAACCTACGCGATTCATATGTCCGTGTGTTAAGTGAAAATGGGGAAAAAAATGGAGCAGGTGTAGATGAAATTCCACATTATCCATACCTTTTGGCCCTGTCATTTCTAAAACCTTATGTTAATATTCGAACAAAGAATTCGGGGAGCGATTTCCAACCAGTTGTTCAGCAAGCTCTTTCAAGTCCATGCCAAGATCCACTTACCATCACATCTGAACCTCCTACCGATGATTTAACAGTTGGTGTTGAGGTATTTTCTCAAGAATCTTTCCCTTCATTTGAGATTATTGAAAACGTTCAAAATGTTGTTTCAAAACAACCAAGTAAGAAAAGGTCTTATGCAGCAATATCACCAAAGCAACTTGATTGGGCCTTGGACGTAAAAATCATGGAATATATATCTGGTGGTGAGAAATCCTTGCAAAATTCATCAGCTGTGGTAACTGCTGTGATGACTACATGTTTGCCATCAATGGCACAGACACATTGGGAAGTTCCACAACTGCGAAAAATCTGTTGCGATTTTTTTCCTTTCGCTTGTTGTCGTTGGAGGCTTGATAAACGGTTGCAACGCAGACCACAAAGCTTCGGAGACTCCTCTACAATTTTGGTCACAAAAAAAACGCAACAACGGAAAGCAGCTTTAAATGTTAGTTTGCCAAGGTAGTGGGTGTGAAACATAACAATTGTTGCTTGCGTACACCATACTATTTATATAATCTTTTAACATTTTAAAGTATTTCTTCTACATCATTGTTTACTTTTCAAATTTTAACTCCAGATCATTATCATATTGTTCAGATATTACGTTCTTATGGCGAGCAAAAATTAGGACTGCTAAATATTTGGACGAAAAATGTTTTAGAATACAATGACTACAGCAAGCATGAATGATTGTTGAATTCATGATGGTGGTAGCGAATAAATCACACTATTAAAATTAAGCTAATATAACTCAAGTTTATTATAAGTTCGCCATTGCGTTACATGTGCTCGACTCGACTGAATATATAATAGCATGCAGTAAAAGTCCCATAAGAATGTTCACGTGTCTATAAGGAAGTTAACTTAAAGTGGTTATATCACGAATTTTAGCCCCCCTTTTTTATTAGCTAAATTGAAAGACCTTGTTTCAGTGATTTTAAATCTGCAATTATAATTGAAATTGGATTGGTGAAAGTGATTTTACGGACGTTCAAAGTCACGATTTTCAGCATTTTTTTTGCGAACTTTTTGATCGGTATGCTAATGACTTGTGACGTAGAAAGTTGAACACATATATCAACATGGCGTATTCTACTAGTAATATCTTAATAAGAAACGCGGAGGAAAACGCTGTGTAGCTGGCGGACCTAATCAAATTAGTTGCGCCAATGATTCAAAAACAGAAGGAATGTCGATGCATCTGTTTCCTAAAAAAGAAACAGAGCCGCAGAGACATAGAAAATGGGTAAATTTTGTGCGTAAACATAGACCGGGTTTTGAGGCTTCCTCTACCTCGTGTCTGTGTTCTGCGCATTTTGAAGATTCTTGTTTTGACCTTAATTTGAGCGTGCAAGTCAAGCTCAAAAGAAGGTTGAAGAAAGATGCTATCCCAACCATTGACGTGGCTGGGATTCCTGAACCATTACAGGACGAAATAACCGATCGAAAGCGCAGACAAGTAAGTTTACGCTTGTTTATGTTAATTTTTCTTTTGTCATATAAATTCGATATAAGTTTTGTAGATTATTCGACATACTCTCCATAAGCCATCGCTGTAGAATATGAGAATTGAAGCATCAGTAACAAATTATTTTTCATATCAATTTGTTGTATATGTTGAACAAGTAAAGAATGTTCTTTTCATGTCTAATAAACAAGAACTTTCAACTATAATGGAAAGATATAGAGGAAAAGCACCCAAACCTTTGTGCAGCCAGTTTCCCACCAAACGATCCAAGGCTGAGGCAATAAAAATATATGTTGCGAGGAACAAGCATGTCAGTCATGCACTTTATCCATGCTGTAAGTATGGGATAATGGTATTGTTTACAATTATTTTAGGATGTAATGATCTGCATTTTTTCCTTAGTGGAACAGCAAAGACAGCAGTTACAAGACCTAACAGATGATGCAGATCAAATATTAAATAGCTCTGGGAATAAAAGTACTCGCAAATGTACTAAATGCAAAGCTCCAATGAAAGGACATCCTCGAGGTCAATGCTTCACTGAAAAAGAATAAATTGAAGTTGGTAGATGATAGGGCAGTGGTCAGACATTGCTTGGAGCCTGTCTGGAATGGAGAAGTAAGGCACCTCCTTCCCACCACCAGCGTGAGGGTTCACCTTAGGCAAGTGATAGTACCCTCTAGCCTCCTATCTGGGCACTGATATACACACCTTTCCTGATGATTACAGTATTAATATAACATTGAATGGTATGTATACTTGTCAGATTGAAGATGACTATCTCACTCGATTGTGCAACTAATTAATTTTCATGAATAATTTTTTTATTGTAGTTTAATGCTCAACATGCCCTTTGTGGATGCAGTGCACTCAAGTGTGAAGACCTTATAAGATAAGTTCATGTGGCTTGCTATTTTCCATTTTACATTTATGCTATGATTTAATTCCATATAATTTTCTTTTTTTCCCAGACTGACATTGAAGAAAAGATTTTCTTTACCGTATAGTTCATCCATGTATCTCCTATTTGGTTTTCATCTAGGCATATTTCCTGACCATTCTAAACTCAGCAAAGAAGGCCAACAGTCTCTACAGTGCACAAGTTAAAGACCTTTCCATCATCGCCCTCTGATGGTATGTAACCTTTGTGTTACCACTTGGATATGCTTTCCGAATAAAGTGGTAAACACAAGCAGGTAAAGGCCGAGTATTCTCCCATCCCATAGACCCACAAAACCATCGCATCAACCATCTGTATGCCACAGCTCTCAAGTATCTGAAGTAAATAAAAAGGTTGGACTAATTATTGTTGATGAAACAATGTTGATGATAACATTGTTTCCCATACAATTTACAATCTTACATATTTAATGATTGTGATGCTTGGCGGCGATAAGCACGTCCATTCCTATCTCTCAATAGTGGCCCGACGTTTTCAAGGACAGCCTCATGAACTAAAGGCCCAAATATTTTCTCAATGCTGCCATCGAATGTCATTTTCTGCAAAGCTGGTCCTATTTCCTTACAGCGTCTGTACTCTAATGCGCCTTCTAACAAATCGGTATGACAGCATTGACAATTGCACCTGAAACGTGGGAGCATTGTGGTTTATAAAGTAACTTTATGTATATTACAAATAGGAGAAAACAACAACTTACCATTCACCGAGTGGAATTACGCCATCACCTCGTTGTTCTAAGGTCGCAGGGAGAATTCCATCGGGATCATCTGGAGTATGCACTTCATCACCATCTCCTGCGAGCGGTTCATCGTCATATGCGAAGTCGTTTAAATGCTCGACATAACCCACGGATTCCGAGCTCGAATCAGATACGCATTCAGACATCGAATTCGAATTATCTGAGCACTGATTTGAGGCCATACTTTCCGGACAACTTGTTTTTTAATATTTTATTGAAAATACTGTCATTATTTGTTTTTAAGACAAGAAAAACGACAACAAAATCACCTTCTATAATATAATATTATATTGACGGAAACAGACGTGTTCAACTATCTACGTCACAAGTATCAAAATGGCGTCGTAAAAAATTCGCAAATAGTACCCGACTTTGGAGGCAAAATTAAGCAACTTATATTTATCTGTTTAAGTCCAGCGACATGTCATAGTTCATCAAATAATCCAAATTTTCAATTAAGCTCATAAAAAAGGGGGGCTAAAATTCGTGATATAACCACTTTAAAGGACACATGCAAGCTAGAAGACAACTTTATTTTATTGTAATGCCTATAGCGTGAAAATAAGACGTACCAAGTTTCAAAGTCGTCCGCGAAATATTTAAAAAGAAATTTAGGGTTATAATCGGTAAAAACACGATATTCGATGACCATTGCTAAAACGCCGTGAGATTGTTTAAGTCTGGGAACTGGGAAAGAGTGACGTAATAGTTGACATAAACAAGCTTCGTTCTTATATCGCTCTACGACTTGCACGCAATTCTTGCACGGCTTTCGGTAGTTTGCTATTACTGTTTTTTATTTAACAAAAATTAATGGATTGTTCTGAAGAAGAAGCCGATTATGATATTGTCGTCAATAACAATGAGGTACAACCTTACATGTTTGAGCCTTTGGCCAACGCGGAAGGTGGTCATAGTAATGACAATTCTTCGTCATCGGAAAGCGAAGATGAATACATTCACAGAATTGGAAATGTTGAATGGTTAGTTGCATTTTATTGATGCTTCATTGTTTTCCCAAAGTAGAAAGAATGTTTTATCTTTTAGGTGCGAGTGTGGCTTTTGTGTGGTCATGAGTACAGGACGGGAAAGTATATGTTGCCAAGAGGTAAACAACACTGATCCTCTAATACATGGCGATCATATTTGCATCACACAAGAGGAAGAGTTTGCCACAGTATGTACAAACGAGGCTGTCTTAAAAACAGCTATGGTCGTGTACACACATGACATTGGACCTATGCCTGAGAGTGAAGAAAACGAGTAAATATTACCTTAGAAGTGTAATGACGTGTATGTCGACAAGTGTATAATGCCGATAAGTATCTTAGAAAAAATTTTGTATCGTTCAGAGCATTACGCTACACGAATAGCATTACGCTATTACATTACGCTACCCTGTCTCAGGCAACTATCAAACACTATGTATTTTCTCTCATTTTGAACGTCTTCCCTATAACATAAAACGTTCTGAGAAACATAACAGAGAAAAGCAATGTAAAGAATAGTCAGGTGACTGGATAGTTGGTACTAACGTTGCATTGTCATTGTCGGATTCTTCATTTTCGCTTAACTCATTTGAACATTGAGAGTCTGATGCATTGTTGCTATTGCTCATCGTCGACGTGCTTTCTGTATCAGACCATACAGCGCTATCCTCAAAATGTTCAATTTCACATGACGTCGTCTGTGTGCTGTGATTTTTTGTTGAAATGAACTCAACCTCCGTACCTTAGCATAAAATTATCGTATTGCTGGATTTTCACAAAATCAAAACAGCCGAAATGGAAAGTCTATACCTCTACTTATCATATTTGGCACTTTTGTTTGAGTGGTTCTTGACCTTACGTGTTTTTGCGGACGGATTGTTATGGTTGCTTGGCATTTCACATTGCGCTTCTAAGGTACGTTAAGGAATTTTTTATGAGTTAAAATAACAAAGAAAAGATCAAACGATATTAGTCTGAATTAGTTACCACTGTATATGTTTGTGTTTCGCTGTCTACATATATTTTGACATCTTTCATCTTAGACAAACTTCCTTTGAGGTAAAACGCACAAACATTTCGAGCCGATGTCGACACATCGTGGTCGTCGTCTACAAGAACGTCGTCAATAATCTAAAATTATAAAATTGTCTTCAATTTGGTAATGCTATATAGCTTAGTTTTTGATAAATGTAAACAAATATTGCTAACTATAACTATAATATTCACCTCTTGCCTTCGTCTCTTCTCAAATGCAGTTCTAACATTTGTTGGCTGCTTCCTTTTAGATGCTACACTTGTGGGTTCCACAGAGTATTCAAAAATCGTGGGTACAGCATCCTTCTTAAGGCGAAGCCGTCCTGCTGTCCATCCTACTGATTGCATCGCTTCAAAATTTTGCACGAAGCACGAACTCTCGAAATGTTGCGAGCACAATTTTGAGCTCTTTGTTGGCTTCCAATTTTGCGTCGGATTTTTCAATCCAAATATCTCGCATGCGCTTGTTTTCGGGAAACGAAAAAAAAGAAACCTTTTGCTGCGTTTCGTGGTTCTTAGAAGAACCGTTTTTACAATTAAATGCGGCACAATAAACCATATTTTCAATGCTAAATTGTCGTGTTACCAATATATTTTGAACGAAGCGCGCAATTGACCGCGTTTAGCGAATGTCAACTATTACGTCACAACGACATCGGTAGCTGTCGCTAGCTCGTCGGGCATTTTCAATACGTTTTCAGTAAAGCATCAACTTTAAACCTCCATATCTTCAAAAATATTTATCCTTTGAGTCTCAAACTTTGGTGAACTATTAGTTGGAGCTATACCTTCATGTAAAGTACAAAAATAACAATCCGAATTTTATGTTGCATGTGTCCTTTAAGGAAATATCAAATTACAATGTTTAACCTAACACCCCCACTTAAACATTAGTTTCTTTAGCTACAAATAAATGTATTACATTGGTAAACAAAGCATAATCTAAAATTATTTACAAGATCTGTTACCAAAAACAGTAGACATAAAAGTTTTTAATTTTTGTGCAGATATTGGTTTAGTGAACATATCTGATATATTATCACTTGACATAACATATTTTACATTGTTTAGACCCTTTTGTATTTCTTGCCTAATAAAATGATAGCGAATATCAATATGTTGCACAGGGTTTTTGGCTAGAGCTATCGCACCTTGATTGTCACAAAACAAACTACCAGGATTTAAGGATTCTATTGGAAAGTCTTTTAAGAGTTGCAAGAGAAATTTTGCTTCTTGAATAGCAAAACTTAATGACATGTATTCTGCCTCACATGTGGATAAAGCAACAGTAGGCTGTTTTCTACTTTTCCATGAAATCAAGGGACCAGTTTTATTTAGTTGGAAACCATATCCCGTTATACTTTGTCTATCGTCTGAGGAACCCCAATCAGCTTCACAATAACCCATTAGAGACAGAGGCTGCTGAGATTTTCTGAAAACAAGCCCTTTTTCTGATGTACCTTTTAAGTAACGTAAAACATGCTCTGCAGTGTTCATGTCAGATGCTGTAGGAGCAGACAGATGCTAAGACAGCTTAGTCACACTATAGCATAAATAAGGTCTAGTTGATGTCATTACATATACTAAACTTTCTACTATCTCTCTGTAGAGCTTGTTATTTACTAGTGGTGATTCTTCAGAGTTCATTTTATTAGAGCTCATCTCACATGGTGATGACCTAGGTTTACAATTTTGCATGTTAAACTTAGCTAAAATCTTCTCAATATACTTTGATTGACTCGTTTTTATCTCATTTTTCTCACAGGTAAATTCTATACCTAGAAACCATGAGAGGACGCCAAGGTCTTTCATTTTAAA